GTTCCGGCTATGAGAGAATGTTCCAACCATATTCATAAATAAACTAGAAAAATGTATTTTTTCTTCAAAATAGTGTCGTTTTTAGTGCGTGGTGTGATTGGAGATCAAAATAAAAACGCGTAGAAAGTTAATAAATTAGGCATAATCGACCATATTTGTCTTCAAAAAATAAATGACAAAAAATCGAAAATAATATGAATAAAAAAATTTCAAAAATATGACACTACCTTTTTATATGTTATTTTGGAAAATTTTATCGACCAGGTTATCTCGGACACTGGTTATGTTCAACCAATTTTTCTCGACTCTGGTTCTCAACCAATCAGAATCAGAAAAAGTTCCTAATCGCTGAATGATTTTTGCACTGAAGCGGAGATAAAATTAGCAGGAAAAAAGTTATAGCATGAACAGTCCGTCCATATTGATTAATTTTTGTAAAACTTTTTTCAATTTTTTATATATATCGGTAAGTTATATATTTTTTTCAACGCGTATTTTTTCAACGCGTCTTAGCCTAATTGTTGTGATAAGCTTAGTAAAAACTTTCAGATATAGTAAAAAGGAAAACCAAACTATGACATCAAATATGACAGTCCTCAACTCCTTGGATACTCATTTGGATAAACAGCCACCTCCCATCAAACTACTCAACCGGACGCCTGAAATACCCATAGCAAAGAATGACTAAAAAAAGCATGCACGGTATTTAGTCTCTTACAAGAAGGACAATAATTCAAAAAAGTCAGGGAAAGTGTTCAAAGTACACTAAAATAAATGATTCCAATTACCCTCGAAACTCTCAGACAAGAAACCAAAGCTTCAATCAATACAATGATGTAGGAAGCTCTAGCGAATTCAAATTAAAGAAACCCTTAAGGAAGCAAAAAATGAACTACAACAGACGGAATAATATTCGTATACTTGGATTAGAAGATGAGCGCGAAACTACTCCACTGCAACCCAAAAAGTTGTCGATGTATCGCAGTTAATTGAAATTCTAATGATATATTGATTGCCCATAGATAACGTTGTAGAGGGAATAAACCGCGCCCTATTATTGTCCGTTTCTCGTAGAGAGTAGGGAAAATTAATTTAGTAAAGAAAAAGAAATCGTTAGGGAATAGCGCCAATTTGAACTATGTACGAACAATTGAAGACCTTCCTCACCCAAGAGTCAATCTTGTTAATATTATGATTTTTTTTGAAAAAAAAAGTGATTTCCCCAGCAACAAAGTTCAGACAACACATAATCACAAAAGTGCTCACAATGATGCCAATACTTAATCAATACTTAATAAAATGTTCGTTCCCTGAGTAAAAATTACGAAAACTTGGAAGAAATAGTTCATAGCTTAGAATGTCCGCCCTTAATATTTTGCTTAGCAGAAACCTTGACTTAATAACGAAAATGACCTGTCCTAATACAAGGGTATGAAAATTATGTGACAAAAATCGCATAACAAGAGGTTGAGGTGTACTGATTCAGTTACGAGAAAACATAGAAATAGTTGAAACTTTTGAAAGTCCGTTTGAGGAGTCAGTGGTAGCTCTCAATGATGTGGAAGCGTTCCGTTTTAAGCTCATTTGCCTCTACAACAAACCGAGAACCGTTAAAATGTACTTTGTTGAAAAATTATACAAATACATTGAGTCTGCGGTGACATGATTGTGGACATTTTGCGTGAAAATCTTTTAACTTTCAAGTAGTCTACAGCAGTAAGTTCGAATGGGTTTGAAATTTGCGGTAAGGAAGCGACTAGCATAATGGATCATTCAAAAACGTGCTTAGATCATTTTTTGTCCAAAACTTTCCTAATTACGATTTTCAAATAGTTGAACATCAAAGTTTTAGCGATCATTTTCCAGTTGTCTTAAAAGGGAATATTTAAAAATATTTCACAAAAAAGCAGAGGATGTCGCTTTTTGAATCATCAAGCTAAAATGAAGTTTTATGATGAAACTATACGAGAAAAGTTGGCTGAAGTAACGCAAAATTAATGCAAGATCGGGGTGCAGATGATTCCCTTATATTGTTTCACTCTTGTTTCATGCAAGTCACGGACAGCTTAGCCCCCATAAGAGACTACAGTAGGGTAGAGAGTAAAAATGAAAATTTATTTTGTAAACAAAACAAAGCACACCAAAATTAAGTCCAGGGAAGTTGTAAGGAACATTTACAACGCTTCAGAAATCATCGGTCAAAAATTGAATTAGAATTGAAACTGTCAAAAAAAATATTATAATGCAAAGTTTGTTGGTTGTACTGGAAACTCACGTCAAACCTATGAGTTGTTGAAAGAAGCGGCTGGGAAAAGTAATTATCAGAGCAATTTTTCCATGCTAATTTCTTTTGTTCATTCCACTCCTACTTCCCAATCTAGCGATACAGCTGAAGTTTTCTATCGATTCTTCGCCAAAGTTGGAATAACAGTTCAAAAAACGAGTGATTTCTCCACTCCTATAACTCTGAACCAAATAAATTCTTCTGTTTTTGTTGAAAAAGTATCAATATTATATGTAGACGATATTACTTCAAGCTTATCGAATAAGTTATCATCGGGAGTGGACAATGTAAATGAAATTCTCGTGAAAATGTCTAAACATGTAACACTCCCTCTTTTAACCACTCTTATCAATCAATTACTGAAACAAGGAGTTTTTCCTCAAGTTCTCAAAATACAAAGTTTTACCACTTCATAAAGACGCATCGAAAGTTGAAGAGGATGATCATGGACCAATTTCTCTTTTAATTGCATGGATTATATTATACGAAAGAGTTGTTTTTAATCGGGTGTATGCTTTTCCTTATTCTCTTGCAAACAATTTGGTTTCCACAAGAAGCATCAATTAAAAAACGCAATTGTCGAGCTAACTGAAAAGTCAGATTCATCACAAACATGAAAAAAAAATTGTTGATTGAAAAAAGCTTCCAATACTATTGACCACGAGTTGACGTTTAAGAAACTCGAAATTTATGGTACAGTTAACAGCATTTTAACTGGTTCAAAAGCTATTTATCGAATCGTTTGCAGTGTGTCAAACAGCGGACGCCAAATCATCATGGCTCAATGTTGAGTGTGGTGTGCCGCAAGGGTCTATACTAGGAAAACTTTTGTTTTCAATCGAGATAATTAATCTGCCTCAGAGCTGTGGAAGTACAGTCATTTATCTGTTTGCTGACGACTTAAACATAACAGGAATTAGTTACACATCACGCATAATTCAAAAGGAGTTAAATCGAATTCTTCTTGATTAAATGCCATCAAGCTCAAGCTGAATTTAAAAAAACTGATAAGATATCACTAGAATCTGGTGCCTTCAACACCATGCTCAATTTTTTGTTTGTTTTAAGTAATAATTGAGTAAGCACTGAATTTTCATGCAAGTATTCAGAAATAAAAATTGATCAACTTTTATCTTTTAAATGTCATGTTGCCTATGTAGTCTAGGGACTCAAAAAACACTGTCGAGTTATTCTAAATTGAGACATTTGTCCCAAGATCGCAACTTCTCAAATACTATATTAGCAAAAATAAAATCTATTATGCAGTACGGAGTCCTCATCTATAGATGCTGTTATTTCTCTACATTGAAGCCAACTTATCTGCTACAGGAAAAAAACTCTAAAGTTCATACACTTTATAAAGATGTTAGATACTTATCTGCTACAGGAAAAAAACGCTAAAGTTCATACACTTTATAAAGATGATAGATCTGAAGACCTGTTCACTCAAAATAATTTACTAACTATATCTGAACTACATGTATATAATGTACTGAATTTTGTCTTGCGCTCAGAAAATCAGCGTCACTCAGAACTGGTTTTGAACGATATGTTTTCATTTGAAACCTCTGCGCGGACGACTAGGCGTTCTATGAACAAAACGACGACATCTCCTTTTTGTAAACGCAATCTTGAAAAATACTCTTTGAGAATTAGAGGTGCCCGCCTAAAAGTTTCTTGAAAAACGAAGTTCTATCTGAAGACTCAGATTGCTTAACTACAAAACAAGATACGAATTGCTATTACAATATCAAACTCAGCTACATACTCAACAACAGTGAAATAACTCGAAATTTAACTCAAAACAGCTAAACTTTGTGTTTGAAACCAAAATACTAAATTCCGCATAAGAGTACCTCGATGTTTTTCTTGTTTTTTTTTCTTCCCTCGCTTAATTTCGGACTTGTGCTACCATAATTCCTCTGACAGCTACAAATTGTGATTTTGCATAAAATTTCTCTTTGTCTAATATCTAGAAAAGTTTCTGCGTGAAAAAAATGTGAAAACAAAAAAACCCTCAATTTTGGTACCTTTAGAAAATTTTTTGTTAGCTTGTTCAACCAGGCAAATTATGTTGAGTTTCACTTCAGCTCGGGTACACTCCTTGTAGATGCTGAGAGCTCAACACAGATTTGCTTGGTAGTGCCATCATCAGATGGTAATTTTCTTGAATCGTTGCTTTTTGCAAAATAAGTTTGAAGAAACAAATTTTTTTTTCTCTCCAACAAATTGTTGACAATACAATGAAGAATCATATCAAACAGACTAAAGGCTGACTGTAAAGTGGGCACTAGTCCCGTTGTCTGTCCTCTCCGAGTCTCTTTCATAAAACAAGGTGCGAGTAAATTCTTGATGTAATTTTTGTTGAATTTTCTTACTTCGAAATGATTTGGAGAAATACATTTTTTTATTCTGATCTGGCAAAATTCGCAATTTCATGTATCTCTAATCTGCTCATTTTGTAATCGGTCCATGTTAAACTTATTGGCGATGATTTTTTTGTTAAGTTTGATTTTTTTTGCGATTTCTTCGAGAATTTTGAATACGCAATTCTGCGATTCTGATTGGCTGAAAATAACTGAAAATCACTTTCCAACTTTTCATCCCTCAATCACGAGGGACGCCACCTAACAAACTCATCTCTTTCGTAAAGATGATAAATGCTAACTAAGTTGCTCGCAGTTAGGCAAGCATAACTGATGTTGTTTATTTTCAGCCCAGTGAGCAGGCGAAGAGTGCGACTGCGTCTGCACGCACTGAACAGCTGAGCAAGGCGAAGAGACGCAACGCGCTGGTCAGTTGTGGCGTCATGATAGACAGTCACGGTCACACCCATCACCAAAAGTACCACTTCATCCACATGCGCACCCTCTGACTCATCACACACACACACTCTCTCTCTCTCGCGATCCCTCATAGATTGTGTTCATGCAAGGCAAACCATCGGACTCTTTTCCAATGCATCAAAGCCCCTCTAATTTTTTTAAATATTCCATATCTATGCTGGACATCCAGCAATTCGAGACCATAACTAACCAAAACATTGATAACGTCGTAACTTACCCATTTTTATCCCTGTTTTGACTAATAGAACTTAATTATGGGGAAGAGAAGCGTGATTCATAAGCCAGAGCATTCAAAATATCTAAAACCCAAAATGAAGTATTTTAACTCAGACTTTGGGTTGGCGTTGGCAGTGGATAGGAAAAAGCCCAGAGAGTTGTTCACATTATGTTGCATCTAATCTTTTTTCTCGTAAATCTCAAACCTTAGCATGTGTTGTTTCGTATTTTGAATACTTTGTTTTGTCAGAAAAACCATTTATCATCATATGGATATCATTAGTGCTTCATGGAACATCCCTTTAGTCACTCAAATTTAACTTTCTGCATGCGTTAACTTTGACTTTTGATTACCAGGTCGACTCATGATTTAATTGAAACGGTCAAAGAATGTCCTTTTTTAGGGGTGTTTTTGACACATTTTTCGTTTTCAAACAGCGTTTTTGTTCAGTTATGTGGGTTTGAAAATTGACAATTTGACTGATGTATGAAAAGTTATTCGCGCGAACTTTCCAATTTTCTTCCAACTAGTAGCATAGACAGCAAAATCATACGGCTCAGAAATCAATCCAAGTTGATTGAGGGCCGCTAATTGATCAAAATATTGCGCAAAACTCATAAGTCAGAGCAGGGGCGGATCTAGGATTTTCTCGAGGGGGGGGGGGGCGGATTTTCAAAAAATTTTCCAAAATTTTGACGACCTTTTTTTTGGGTCAACCAAATTGATTTTTCGAGCTCTCCCAAAGCACTGTATCGCCCCTATTTTGGCTAAATTTTCTGCGCCGCAGGCAAATTTTTGAAAAAACAGTCAAAGCGCTCCCCCTCAAAGTTAGTATATATTGGCGCCGAAGGTGCCTTTAGAAAAATTTTAGAGTCGGTCGGCCAAAAATGGATTTCTGAAAAAGTATCAAAGGGGGGACCCTTTGGGTCGGCAGGGGGTCGAATCCCTGAGGGGGCGGCGTCCGCCCCCAACCCCCCCCCCCCCTACCCCCCAAATCCGCCCCTGAGTCAGGGGCACAGAACAAAACGAGCATACTTGTAATATGGAATCCAACATAAATGCAAGTAGAAAAAATTGCTTATGTTTCACAAACCAAGTTAACATCAGCCCCCTTTCCTCCCCCCAAAAAAATCGGTTCGTATTTTCGCTCGTTTGCTCAACTCCAACTGACTAAACGCATATTGTAATTGGAGGCTTGGAAGCCCTATTTCGGATTTCGGCTTCTAGCTCACTGCTTATTGTTATTTCTACGTTCTCTGTCAACTCGCCAACTCATTCACGCGGACCGCCATATACATATTTCTCGCCAGCTCATCTGGAAACGGTGGCGGGTCGCCATATACATATTTTCAATTTTTTAAAACTTGCTTTGGATTTTGTCGTCCACGCGGGTGTAGTTTTGCAGTCAACATACCAATCAACTCTTGGTCACTCTTTTGCATATTATTGTTCTGACAATTTGAAAAAGGGGAGGAATTTTGTTTTCGGGTGTGTTTTTTCCACGCAAAATCAGGAACAAAAAAATCATTGGAATGGGTCGAGTGACATATCATATTGAAGCCCTTCCAGTCGTAATTCGAACAATATTGAAAAACTCGAAACAATTTTTCTCAGTGTTCGAGAAACACCGGTTTGAAATATTTTTGATTTTCGCTCCATTTCAGCTCCCAATCCCTGTGTTAACGAAAAGTTGTGCTACCTATCTTTTCACGGTCACAAATTTAGTCCCACTTTTCCCAAGTTTTTAATAGTGAACTGAGTAACTTTTCACTTTCGCGCCAACGGCACATCACCCCCTCTGCTTACTACTAAAATATCATCAAAACGCTCCTGAACCCAGCCACGGGTAGGAGAATATTATCCATCACCTTGTAAAATTCATTCTTCATTTCATCAATAAAACGCAGCCCTTAATCGTTATCGACCGCACTACAAAAGTGCACCTTACCAAGTGTTTCGTTTGTTTGCTCAACGCCAACTGAATATACATTTTCCGTAGGTTGAAGCTTGAAAAGATATTTTTTAGCGCACCGCTGATTATTCTTGCCAGGTTGTCTACCAATTCTTTCATATTTGGCATTCGTTAGCAGAGCATTTGCGATATTTTTGTCCCATTCTGCCAGGGGTTAATTATCTTCAGGGGTTGACATGATAGATAATGCCCAGCCACATATGTTACCTCGCCATTGAAATGAAACCCAGCGTACCATTCTGCTCAAGGTCCTCTCCGCATTTTTTGGTGGACAAACTTGAGATCAGGGCCTTATGGTCCGTTATTACTGTAAGATGCCCGCCAAATAGGTACTTTTTGGAAGTGTCTGGTCACCGAGGTTACGCTCACTATTTTAGCTCTTTTTGGCTCTTTTGCCCCCTTTTTGCTCTAATTCAGCTCATAAACCCTGATTGGATGCATCTCCTTTAAACGGTGTCTCGCAGTTCACATCGAAATGCCTTTTTATAACAAAGTCTCTGACCTATCTTCGTAGTAGTTAGAACATAGTTGAAAGATGCCCGAGGGAAAAAGAGCCCGGCCTGAGGGCACGAAGGACCCGAGTGCGGCTTTTTGCCCGAGGCCATCTTCAACTATGTTCTAACTGTTGAAGAGTATCTTTTTGCTCTTTCTGAGAAAAAGATGCCAGAAAATTGTCAAAGAGCGCGGAAAAGTGCGCGAAACTATGCAAATGATTTCATTTTTCTATCATGCCTTGTCACGAAAGAACTTGTGTGAAAGGGCAAAAACATACTCTTCTATTACGACAAAAGCTTTTTCAAAGTAAATTTATTCCCAATTTTTCCGGGCACTTTCTAGGAGATCTTCCAATGCACGTGCACTTTTGATTTGAAGCAATGAATATTTTTCCGCTTCGAGCCAACGCGCGTCACGCTCCCTCTGGTCCCTGCTAGAATATCGTGCAAATACAGCTGCATCCCCGATAGGCTTACAACTTAGTATCCATCACTACGTGAAACTAGATCCGAATGTCGTCCAGCGTAATGCGACAACTCGTAACGTTTTGCGAGCTTGCCAACAGAGGCTAGGACTGAATAAGAAATTTAGAGCCGGTTATCGGCGACCTCAAACAAAAACTCTTGCTTTCCTGTATTTTTTCGAGTTGTCCTTCGTTGCAAGTTGCCGCATTACCGTCGTCCGTGCTATAAAATTCGGCTATGAATTGTTATCGATCTCCTTAAAAAAGGGACTTTACACTGTCTTTCCTTTTAATCCTCAACGCCAATTGAATAAAAGCAGATTAATGTTCAAAAGTATATTTTGTCTTCTCATCAGCCGCTGATTTTCTTGGTCACTATGTCTATCAACTTTTCCATGATCGACATCTGGTAGCAGTTGCAATATGTTTGTTTGTTGCTCACCTTAAGAGCAACAATCAAATTCACCTGTCCTTCTCACATCGCTGTCATCACAATCGAAGCTATTAGACTCTGCTGATTGTAAAGACTCCATCCACTGTAGTTGCATTGGTATCAACTTATCATGGAAAACAATTTTGATACTACTTAATCCTTTGATTAAATTCTTCAAAACTTAACACCAGTTTAACATCACAAAAATTTAACATCAGATAAAATCAGCTTTCCGTAATTGACCCGTAAGTTGATATTTTCAACTCCAAATTTTTGCATTAAAGCCGTCGATTGTTTTTAGGTGTGCCTTTTCATATTGTTTGAAACCGCTCTAATCTTCGTGCTTCTAGTAGTAAAAGTTTTTGGCATGAAGTTAGTACTGGCTTACTTTGAAACCATTCGGCTGCCAAAACGGATTTTTCACTCTGTCGCTCAGTAAGAGATTATGTCTAGAACGACTTTCATCATCTTTCTGATTTTCTTCTCATCCATGTGTTTCTTCCCACCCTGCCCTTTACTGCTACTGCGCTAGCAGTAACGTAACTTTGAGGGATATATATTTATGTATGTATGATAATACCTATGTCTTATTATATATAAAACATTGTCCAAGGTCACCGGAGTGCAAACCTCGGTAAGCAGCTGAAGAAATCAGTCAGTCATTTAACTACGCTGATATCAGCCGGACTTGGAGAAAACAATTAAACAAAAATAGATAAATATAGTTTTTTGCGATTAAAAATTAGTTTTATCTCAAGTCAGTCGCGTAGGATATCAAAATGTCATAGATATGTCTACTCACCCAAATCACCAATGCACCGAAATTATTTTTGGTCTCGGTCGTCTCGCCTTCTCCGCCGGCGTTTCAAATTTGTCATGCTCTCCCATTTATCCTTGCCCTATCGACAGCCTTGATTGTTTCTCCTCGTACCCTGCCCTTTGCCTTCCGCATGAGTAGGATGCTACCACTGGGCATGCTTCTTCATGGTCCGCTTTCCATCCATTTCCGCAACTAAAACATTTGGATGCGTCCAATGTGTTTACTTCTTAATCTCCTTCTTATTTGATCTCTCTCTCTCTCTTCTAGTTATTGCCCAATAGCTTTAATAATATTTGTCCCGCATTATGATCCTTTCCTTTTGCCACCGAAATTGTTCGTGTAGCTATTCAAAGGTGACTGGCTCCTCCTCTTTCTGGTGTTCCTTCTGTTATATATGATTGTGTATTCCAGGGCTCTGTCAGCAGTTAGTCTCTCTCTCTCTCTCTCTCTCTCTCTCTCTCTCTCTCTCTCTCTTCTCTCCTCTCCTCTCTCTTCTCTCTTCTCTCTCCTCTCTCCTCTCTCCTCTCTCCTCTCTCCTCTCTCCTCTC